GTGGAGGGTGGCTGGTTTTCAAAATGGGGCTCTCGCCTTCGGCATTCCTCATCAACGTCAGGCCCATGGGGCGCCTGTTAGGCCAATGGAGCGCCCGTCTTACAATGGCGCGCGTCCGGGTGTGAAAGGGAATGCTTGCATGGACTTACGAGAAGGGGCATGGGACGGGATGGTGGATAGCAACATCGCTGATGCATCCTGGGCCCTCTCTGGCCGTCCTCCTCCTCCTCCTCATCATCATCACCCTCCTCCGCTTCATCATCCTCATCATTTCTCATCATCATAATCATCATCCGCCCTCTTTCGGGCACAAGCAGCCTGCTGGCTGCCGTTGCTCGCCGCAGCCTGCTGGCTGCCGCTGCTCGCCGCCGCCCGCGCCGCCGCCTCCGCGGCGAGGCGCGCCTTCGGGGCGGGGCCCGAAACGCAGGCTTGCCCACGCATGCGCCGACGTGGTCGGCGCATGTGTGGGGGAGGGGTCCGCGGACCCTTCCCCATTCCCGCCCGAGCCTGGACCGCGTCCCTGGCTGCGTAATACTCAGCCCTGGCGGCGTCGCTTTGCTCTTTCCACTTGTTCACGCTGCGGAGCATGAGGCCGCACATGCGCTCGTGGCGCTTCCACCGCTCCAGGGCGGCCCTCTGCGGCCCGAACGCGTCGGGTGGGCCCATTGCTGCACGTAGGCCCGCGGGCTGATGCAGCGGCCCCCAGCGCCGACCGCTTCCAGCCGCATCTGCCTACGGGTCAGTTCGCGGCTCATCATCACCATCATCGCCATCGTCGTCATGTCCATCATCCTTCTCCTCGTGACCCCCTCCTCCTTGTGATCACTCATCATGCCTCCTCCTCCTCATCCTCCTCGTCCTCCTCACGTTCAGTCTGGGCCCACCTGCGGCGGGCTGCCGTGGGGCTCCAGGGGCAGCGTGGGGGGCTGGTCGTCGTCCTGGCTGTTGTCGAGCGGGTCGTAGCCCGCCTCGCTGTCGGGCGGCATCTGCGTGTTCGGCTGGCCGTAGCCCGCCTGGCTGTCGGGCGGCATCTGCGTGTTCGGCTGGTCGTCCTGGCTGTCGCTGGGCGGCATCTGCGTGTTCGGCTGGTCGTAGCCATGGCTGTCGGGCGGCGTCTGCGTGTTCGGCTGGTCGCCCTGGCTGTCGGTTGGCGGCGTCTGCGTGATCGGCGCGTCGTCGTCGCTGTCCGTGGGCCGAGGCTTGGGCTGCGTCCGGCGCGCATTTTGGGACCCGCTGGCGCCGCCGCCGCCGCCGCCGCGGGGCGGCGGCGCTGTCATGCGGGCGCGCCCCGCATGGGGCCCGTGCGGCACGACCACGATGAAGGGCTGGTGGCCGTTGGGCGGCTGCTGCTGCGGCACGTCGGGCACGGCCGCGCCGCCGTCGGTGGCGACCCCGACGACGTTCACGACGCCGTCCAGCTCCAAGCCTGCAGCACCGCCATCGTTGACAGACATGTCAACCTCCTGGATCGATTCGCTCGAATCCGCGTCAACGTCGATGGCGTCGTCTACCGCGCCGTCGGCCATTCCGCCGCTGCCCGACGCGCCGCCCGAGCTGTTGGGCGGCGCCGCTGCCGTGCGCGCCGCGGAGGCCGCTGCCGTGAGCGCTCGGCACGCATCATCGGCCACCCGCTGGCGCTTCGGCGCGGGCTGAGCTGCGCCGCGATGGGCGAGATCTGCCGGGAGCTGCACCATGATTGGCGAGAGCTGCACAATGGCCGAGAGCTGCGCCATGATGGCTGAGAGCTGCACCATGATGGCTGAGAGCTGCACCATGGTGGCCGAGAGCTGCACCAGTAGGCGTGTCTATATGTAGGAGCTGCACCCGTAAGCGTGCATATATGTAGATGGATGGCCTATGCAGGCACCAGCGGGTCACTTGAACCACAATGCTGTGGCGGAGGGTGTAACTCACTCGCCATTGCTGGCGCTGGAGTGTTCGTGTTTGTCCCATTCTTTTCATTCAAGCTCCTTAGGAGTGGGTTTTGGAAAAAGCGCGTTTCCGCAAACGGTGTGGGCTAAGGTGGAGCTCGCCACTGCCATGTCCCACACAGCCGCATCCCACCAATATGTGTGACACAAATACAACGCTCTCTTGGGGTCCTCTTGGGGCCCTCTTGGAACCCTCTTGGGGGCCTCATGGGGCCGCCTGGGGCCCCCCCTGTAGCCGTCTCGAGGGGTTTGGAGCCGTCTTGCGGGCCCTCTTGGGCCACCTCGCCAAACTCCGTCTGACGGAGTTTGGCGTGGTGTCTGCTAGAGCTCTCTTGGGGTCCTCTTGGGGCCCTCTTGGAACCCTCTTGGGGGGGCCTCATGGGGCCGCCTGGGGGCCCTCTTGGAGCCGCTTCGATGGGTTCGGAGCCGTCTTGCAGGCCCTCTTGGGCCACCTCGCCAAACTCCGTCTGGCGGAGTTTGGCGTGATGCCTGCTAGAGCTCCCTTGGGGTCCTCTTGGGGCCCTCTTGGAACCCTCTTGGGGGCCTCATGGGGCCGCCTGGGCCCCCCCCCTGGAGCCGTCTCGAGTGAGTCGGAGCCGTCTTGCGGGCCCTTTTGGGCCACCTCGCCAAGCTCCGTCTGACGGAGTTTGGCGTGATGCCTGCCACAGCTCTCTTGGGGTCCTCTTGGGGCCCTCTTGGAACCCCATGGGGGGGGGGCCACATGGGGCCGCCTGGGGGCCCCCTGGAGCCGTCTCGAGGGGGTCGGAGCCGTCTTGCGGGCCCTCTTGGGCCACTTCGCCAAACTCCGTCTGGCGGAGTTTGGCGTGCTGCTTGCTAGGGCTCTCTTGGGGTCCTCTTGGGGCCCTCTTGGGCCCCTCTTGGGGGCCTCATGGGGCCGCCTGGGGGGGGGGGGGCTGTCGCCGTCTCGAGGGGGTCGGCGCCGTCTTGCGGGCCCTCTTGGGTCACCTCGCCAAACTCCGTCTGACGGAGTTTGGCGTGATGCTTGCTAGAGCTCTCTTGGGGCCCTCTTGGGGCCCGCTTGGAACCGTCGTGGGGGGGGGGCTCGATGGTGCCGCCTGGGGGCCCGCTTGAGCCGCCGTCGAGGGGTCGAGCCGTTTGCGGGCCCTCTTGGGCCACCTCCTCGCCAAACTCAGTCTGACGGAGTTTGGCGCGATGCCTGCTAGAGCGTTCTTGGGGCCCTCTTGGAACCCTCTTGGGGGGCCTCATGGGGCCGCCTGGGGGCCCCCTTGGGGCCGCCTCGAGGGGTTCGGAGCCGTTTGCTTGGGGCCCTCTTGGGCCACCTCGCCAAACTCCGTCTGACGGAGTTTGGCGTGATGCTTGCTAGAGCTCTCTTGGGGTCCTCTGATTTGAAACCCTCTTGGGGGGGGGGCTCATGGGGCCGCCTGGGTGCCCTCTTGGGGCCGCCTCGAGGGGTTCGGAGCCGTTTGCGGGCCCTCTTGGGCCACCTCCTCGCCAAACTCCGTCTGGCGGAGTTTGGCGTGATGCCTGCTAGAGCTCTCTTGGGGTCCTCTTGGGGCCCTCTTGGAACCCTCTTGGGGGCCTCATGGGGCCGCCTGGGGGCCTCCCTGGAGCCGTCTCGAGGGGGTCGGAGCCGTCTTGCGGGCCCTCTTGGGCCACCTCGCCAAACTCCGTCTGGCGGAGTTTGGCGTGATGCCTGCTAGAGCTCTCTTGGGGCCCTCCCCACCTATTCTAGAAATAGTTAGGAAAGGTCAGGCCCACAAGTGGCGTCGTCGTCGTCGTCGTCGTGGCGGCGGTCGTCGTCGTCGTCGCCGTCGTCGTCGAGGTCGTCGAGTCGCCCGTCTTGGGGCTGACGGCGCTTCGGAAGGGGGCGTCGGAATGGCGGTAGCCGCGGCGTAGGCACCGTTGGAGGGTGTATAGCAGCACCCGCGGTTTATCTTGGGCGACGGCACTCATGCGCGCTCTCCAGGCTGCTTCTTGGATGTACCCTTGGGCCCCCCAAATGCCGTCTCGGATCTGGCGGCGTCTCGGGATGGGGGCCGCCGGAATGGCGGCAGCCGCGGTGTAGCCCCTGTTGGGGGAGTGTATAGCAGCATCCGCGATGCATCCTGGGCGACGGCAGTCTACGCGCTCCCCAAGGTGCCTCTTGGGGGGCACTCGTGAGCCTCCCCTGGGCCGTCTTGGAGCTGATGGTGGCTTGGGGGGGGGGGGGGCGTCGGAGTGGCGGTCGCCATGGTGTAGCCCCCGTCGTCGTGACCTAGAGTGCCCAGGCTTCGTCGTCGCCGCCGCCGTCATCGTCGTCGCGCGAGCCCAGCACGCCCCCCCCCCAAAAAAAACATCAAGGGGGGGGCAGGACTTCCGAATTGGCGGTGGTTTCTCTGAAGACACACCCGAACTGCCAGGCGGCTCCAAAGGGCGTCGGCGCGGCGGCAGCCACGGGGCGTCGGAGTGGCGGTGGCCAAGGGAGCTTCCCGACGCCATTATTTTGCCCAGCGGTATCGGGGCAGGCTTGAGAAATGGTGAATTGCAGCATGGGTGAATTGCAGCATCGGTGAGTGCAGCGTCGGTGAGTGAGTGGATTGCAGCAAGGGTGAATTGCAGCTTCGGCGATTGCATCTAAACCTCACCTTGCGCAAGGGTGAAGTGCAGCATCTGTGATTGCATCTACGCATCATCTGGCGCAGTGGTGAATTGCAGCATCGGTGAGTGCGGTTGATGTTGCCCTTTCTCACTGCCGTTTCCGAGCGAACATATCAAACTATGTTGCGCGCTGGGCCCCGCCACAAACAACTACGCCAGCCAAACTCACGACTCAACAAAGACTGCATGTGGCAAGGAACTCCGAGGGCCCAACGCGGGCCGAATTGCACTCCATCAAGCTTTCACGAATGCGTCGAGAAGTGCGGCGGTGCCCGCCAGAAATCTAAACCCACTTCTGAAGATGTAGCTCACCAGCAATCAACGCCCACATGATGATGCTAGTGGCCGTGCATGCTGACGCACGAGTGCCTGCCATCTGTGTTGATCCAGGACTCGCCGCGGCCTGATGGCGCCGTGGCTGTCGCTGCCGTCGCAGAGCATTGGGCAACCTCAATCGCCGAGCTCGTTGACCGCGCGGATCATCGCCACGATGGTGTTCCCGACCTTGCTGTCCTGCGTGGTCCTCTTGCGGATGTCCTCGGCCGTCGTCTTGCGGAGGCCTGGGAGGGCCTTGGTCCTGACGAGGTCCTGGTAGAACTTGACCAACTCGTCGATCTCCTTGCCCTTCTCGATGGTCTTCTTGATGTTGCTCTTGCGAACCGTCGAGCCAGAGTTTGCTTCCCCCTCGAGCTCGGTGATCTTGTTGCGGAGACCCTGGAGGTTCTTGAGCGCGTTGCGGGCCCGATCCACCGCCGAGTCGAAGTCCTCCGTCTCGGCTTCGTCATCGTCCACGTTCCTGCGGGCTGGACCTCGGCCGCGAGACACGTCATCCTCAAGCCGCTTCATCATGTCATCCGACACCTCGACGTCGGCCCCCCGGTCAAAGCCCGCGGTGGCATCGCCGAGGAACTTCTGCATGGAGGCGAGGCCCAACTGGTCGAGCTCGATGTTGCCACTGACGTGCAGCTGCTTTCCCCCCCCCCCCCAGCTCCTTCGTCAAGTCGGCCAGGGTCGATGAATCGAAATACCACTCCCTGCCGTCGATCTTCTTGACGACGCACTCCTTGCTATCGATTGCCTCCTTCAGCGCCGAAGCCCCTCCGAAGTACTGCTTCGCTTTCACGAAGCCCATGCCGATCTTGCGCTGCTTCGCCACCATGCTCTCCGAGTACTTGATGACCTCCTGGAACATCGGGTGGTCCCACCCGCTCAGCTTCCAAAGCCGCGATCCTCTTGTTGAGCTGCAGCTGCTTTCCCTGGCCATAGCCGAGCTCGCTCTTGTTACGTATGTTCTCGAGGACGGCGGGCTCCGCGTTGGCCTTCGCCGCGTTGAACTGGTTGCGGTCCTTCTGCGTGATGGCGACGATCTGCCCGTCGATCTCCACGTCGGTCGACCGCGAAGCTGGGCTTGACGAGTTGGGCGAGGCGCAGGCGGGCCTCCTGCCCGCTGGCGTCGCGAACTTGTCCTCAGCCTTCGGTTTCGTGGCCTTCATCGCCTTCGCGGCGGGCTTCACCTTCGCCGCAGCGGGCCTCCTGAGCTCCATCTTCGGCGCCATGCCGCTCTGAGCAACTCGCGAAGGGCCCAGGCCGATCGGGGGCGAGTGTCGGGCGAGCGCCGAGGCTAGGCTGAGCGCCGGCTTGGCCCGAAACAGCCGCGCGCGCGCATGGGCGCCGTGATTGGCCCAGGCCACATTCAAACCACTTGCCGCGACCGTTGGGCCCATAGGGCCCGAACGCCGACGTGCGTTGGGCGTCGTAGTCGTTGTCGTACGCCGTCGCTGTCCCTCGCCGCCATGGTCGTCGTCGTCGTCGTCGTCGTCGTCGACGCCCTCGCCAAACATACAACAAGACGCTTTTGGAATAGGCCCACATGCTAAGGAGAGAAAGACACACTGTTGGGCCCACCACGCCATGTTGTTTGTTTTTTGCTGGTTTGACATGTTTTTTTTTTTTTGAAATATTTGGTTTAAACTGGTGTTTTTTGTTATTTCGCCAAGGCGAGTGTTTTTCTCTGCGCGGTTGCCATGCCGATTTCCAAGGGGTTGTGAATGTTTCTACCGTGGGCCGAAGAGCTCGCTTCGCTGGGTCGGTCTGCCCTCCAGTTGAGCGGCCCGCCTCCAAAACTGCGGGCCTGGCGCGTCGGGCCGGCGGAAAGCTCCCCGACCCGAAACATGCAAGCGCCAGCGCAACGTCTGGCAGGCACAAGGGTCGGGCACGCCGCCAGCGAGCAGGCGCTGGTGGAGGGGGGGGGGGCCCAAACATTTCGCGACATGTTAAGCCGTGCCGTCAGTCGGCTCGGCCGCCCGCCCCGCCTGCCAGACCGCGCGGCGAGCTCGCGGCAGGCGGGGGGGGGCTCGGCTGCCTGGCGGCACGGCTCAACATTTTGCAAAATGTCATCGCGCAGGCGGCGCCTGCAAGAACATGTTCTAAAATGTTACATCGCGAGTCGGTCGCCCGCGAAACATGTTGTAAACTGTTTCGCACCCCCGAAGCCCCGAGCCTCGACGCATGGAAAATATGTTGTGTTTCAGAGGCCCCGAACCTCAACATGTTAACAACATGTTGTGGAAACGGTATTGGCGCGATTAACATGCTGTGCGCGGTTGAAAATGCACCCTAATATGTGTGGCATGTTCAACTCGTCTTCCATAACATTTTGCAACATGTTAGCTGAGCGACGGCTGCAACCATAACATGTTGTAAATTGTGAAGGTCGGTAGGGGCGGGCCCGTGGGGGTCCTGAGCGGTGCCCCTGGATTGGCCTGGGGGGGGAGGGCCTGGACGGGCCCTGGGGCCCTGGCAAGGCCCTGCGGCGGGTGGTGCATCTGTGGGGGAGGCCCGGGAGGGTCTTGAATTCATCCCGAAAGGGGGCACTGCCGTGGCACGGAAACGCCAGGCTGGGACTGACCGACATTCACGACGCGGCGGCCTACTTGCCAGCGAACTGAATCTTAAAGAGGGTGCCGCACACCCATTTCTTGCAAATCTTGATTGCACGCTTGGCAGCAACCGACCCATACCGAACCGACGCTCCTAACGTCTTCATCCTCATCTGGAAGTTCTCGTTGATGTAGCACTTGGCCACGTCGGGGTTCATGTGCTGCGCCCCGTAACCCACGTGCCAGAGGCCGTGGAACTTCGGTACATCGTGCCAGAAGTCCGCCCTGACATGCAGCATCTTCCCCATCTCCTGGCACTGCTGGTATGCCGCCAAGAAGAAGTCGATGTCCTGCCGCAGCGGAGCCACGACGGTGTCGGGGTCGAGAAAGAATGGCCTCTCCCCGTCCACCTCGGTCTCGAGGAGCCTGTATATCATTGTGAGGCTGTCGAGCACCTTGCTGATGAGACCCTCGTACTTGTTCGCAGGCCTATGCTTCACTTTGAAGATCTTCGCGAGCACTGGGGTCAGGTGCCTGGTCTCCGCGGCGTGGCCCTTGAGCAGCGGTGCCTTCCCCATTGGCTTCTCTGGATTCGTGAAGAAGGTCAAGTCCAGATATGTGACGCGAGAGGGCGTACTCTCGGCCTTGTAGATTCGGGAAACCTCACTCCGAATCCACGCGCATGCACCCACGGGGCCGTGTGCCTTGACCATGTCGCTGTAGCACATGTGGAACCCTGTATTGCCCGCGACGTGCAGGGCGTCGCCGAGATCCAGCGCGCGCATGGTGTCACGCATCATGGTGAAAGGGTGCAAGCCTAGACCGCCGTCGCCAGGCCCCCGAAATAAGGCGCGCACGCCCTTCTTCATCTTCACGCAGTGTGCTCGCCACCTGGCCTTCTGCAGGAAGACTGTGTCCCGCCATGGCGCACCAGGGCCCCAGTTGTTCCAAGCGGTCGCGCCCGTTCCGATCTTCGTGGCCTCGCACGCGCAGGAAGGGTGGTTCGAGCTCCAGTGCCCAGGGACGCCGATGTGGTTGACGAGAAACTCCATGTCGCCCTTGAGCAACATGACCTGGCAGAAATAACCATCGGCCAAGTCCTTGCCGCACCGACTGTCTCCGACGATCCGTTTGCCTTCCCAGTCGTTGTGCGGAAACTTCCCAGTCCGCAGGCCGTTGAGACTCCAGATGATCCGCTTCCAGAACGTAGCTTTTGTTGTCTCGCCCTCGTAATCGTGAAAATTGCCGACCTCCAGCTCGCCGAAGTAACGCGATATCAAGTTCAGCACGCCGTCGGTCGACCCTGAACCAAACATCCCGAACCAGACGATAGACATCAACCCAAGAAGCCGAGCGACTGGCGCTCCATCCCCATGCAAGCCAATAGGGATTGCTTTCGTGTAGAAGTACTGCCTGCTGTAGTCCTTAGGCCTGCGGGGGTCCCGATGGTGCATGCCAGCCCAGAAGTCTCGCAATTTCACGTCGCTCGGGCCCTTCCCAAGAAAACGAGCTGTCCACGAATCCCTGGAATTGGCTCAGGAAGCTAAACCACTCGCGGGGGTCGATGTAGCCATGTATAACTGGCTGCGGTCCGATATCTTCTTCGCCCCTCGTGACGACCATAGGCGACCTGCACGGTGCGACATCAAACTTTTTGCCGCCGAGTAGGTGCTGGCAAATCGTGATGAGCTCTCGATGGCAGTTATGTTTGTTCAGCCCGCGAGTGCCCACGCCAGCGATCTTGTCGAGAATGTCACCCGTAGCGCCGTCCGTGGTGGCAAGGACCGCAATGCGGTTGCAGTCGATCGCCGTGTAGGTGCCCCAGCTGAACTCCTGGATCAGGTAGATCCCTAGACGGTCGCCGGACACAGGGGCATCCGACCCCGCGGCGGCGAATGCCCTCTGGCTGGCACCGCCGTGGCTCATAGCATGACGCGCCACGCCACTCCGCCATTGCTGCTCTGAGGATGCATCTCCCGATCGAGCAGATTCGATAGCGAACGAGCTGTCGCCAAAATCGAACGCCATGGGCGAAATGAAATGTTTGGGCGCAAGAGGCCGTTTGTAAAACAACGCTGGGCCTGAAGCAATCACGCATGGGGCATGGGGGGCATGGGGGGTGCATAACCACGCCGCCAGGGAGGCCCCCCTAACACAGGAACGGCGCTCTCGCTCGAGACGTCCTCGCAATTCATTCAACTTGGCGGATGCCCGACAAAGACGACAACGGCCCCCGCTCGATACTTCCTCGCAGTTTACTCCGATGCGCCCTGTCCAGAGAGGCCCACCCAAACATTGGGGCGGTGCTCTCGCTCGAGACTTCCTCACAATTCACGCGCCTTGGAACCATATTGGGACGTCCTGGGACGCGCTCATGCAGGCTCGGAGGCGAGGCAGGGGGAAAAGGGATGCGGAGGGGGAGCACTTGTATATGCAGTTTCAAAGAGGAGGGGGCGAGTCGTCGGCGCGGTCGTCGTCGTCGTCGTCGTCGTCGTCGCCGCCGTCGTCGTCGTCGTCGTCGAGGTCGAGGTCGTCGAGTCGCCCGCCTTGGAGCTGACGGCGCTTCGGGAGGGGGGCGTCGGAGTGGCGGTAGCCATGGCATGGTGCATCCCCCGTGGGAGGGCGCTTAGCAGCATGCGCGATGCACCTTGGGCGACGGCACTCCGCGCGCTCTCTAGGGTGCCTCTTGGGGGTAATATTGGACCCCCCATCGTCTTGGAGCTGACGGCGTCTCGGGGGGGTGGGGCGTCGGAGTGGCGGTAGCCATGGCTTGGCCCCCGTGGGAGGATGTATAGCAGCATCCGCGATGCATCTCGGGCGACGGCGCTCTGCGCGCTGTCCAAGGTGTCTCTTGGGGTGCTCATGTGCCTCCCCTGTGCCGTCTTGGGGCTGACGGCGTCTCGGTGGGGGGCGCCGGAGTGGCGGAGGCCATGGTGTAGCCCCGTCGCCGTGCACTGAAATTCCCAAGCTTCGTCGTCCCGTCGTCGTCGTCGTCGTCATCGTTGTCGCCGTCGTCGCCCTCATCCTCATCGTCATTTTCAACATCGCCACCCTAATTTCAAAAGCGATCTTAGAACGGTCCCCTAATTGGAGACTTCAGGAGCGACTTCCTAATTGGGCGTCTTTTTCTGACAACACCTCCGAATTGCCAGGCGACTCAGGAACCCAAAGGAATCGTAGAACCCTACAGCAGTGCCGAGACGCGAAGCGTCACTGAATAGGGGACGCGTAGCGTCTCATAATGCATTGCAACCAATACACGGGCAATCTTTTCAAACGCAAAAGCAGCCCCCGCGTCGAATTGCATGCTGGCTTCAAGCTGAGCCACTCAACGGGGCAATAAGCGACGTCGAACTCCAACTTCCCGTCCAGCGTCTCGCCGAGCGGCGCCAAAGCCTGCTGTCGCTTCTCGCCCCCACCCACGTGTGCTGGCCTCCAGCGCTGTGGATGTCTAGCCCAGCAACTCGGCTCGGAGCCTCTGCGCGCCATCCTTGGACAGCTTGGGCTTCTCGACCTGCGCCGCGATGCGGTGAATCAGCATCGGGTGCGCCTTGATCTGCTTCTCGGTGATCTCCGCGGCCAAGCGCATCTTGTTCTCCCTCTTGGTGGCGCCGACGATGTACGCCCGCTTGGGCGAGACCATTCACGATGCGGACCTTCGTCAGAGGCTCCTTCCA